AATTTGTCAAAATTCCGAAGCAAAAATTTGGAAGCCAACTTACCGTCATCAACCCGTGCTCTGTTCTCTGATAAAGCACGCTGTTTCAGGCAATCAGAGCGCGCGTTATATGGAAACTTTATTATAATAAGAGATATTTAGAGGGTCTTTCGAGATATTTTGGGACGTTTTTTTGTGATATTTAGAAAATTTTTTGGGAATTTCCGTAAGGTATTTTGACGATTTTACGTCATATTTGTGGAAAGGCCAAACTATTTACGACACTGAGAGTAATTTTAGCTATCGATGCATCGTGTGTGCTTCTCAGTGGAGGAAAGACTTTTGACAATGTTAGAGAATGTAATACAGCTGAGGAAATATTTCCTTTGCCGCCTCTTTGTTTTTTAAAATCAAAACGCTCGTGTGTTTATAATTCTGTAGATAGCCTGAAAATAGCTTCTAGCTTTGAAATAAAGGGAGCGGACCAGCAAACTTCCAAACACCACAGAACAAATGCCTTTTAAGATTGATTGACGCCTAAGTACCTTTCCAGAAATTCTCAAAAAAGTAGAAATATCACAAAATTTTTTCATATATCGCCGAAAACCCCTAAATATCTCTTATTTTTGTTTGAAAAATAAACCGATTTTGAGCCACTTAGGCCAAAAATTTTCAAAAGTTTCTTGCAGTAGTAGAAAGATTAGATGGAGAAGATTCGCACACTTTGGTGTTGCCAGCATCCGCCATTTTAGAAAAATGGCTTTAGTGCTTTTAGTGGTCGGAATACGAATTTTTAACTGAAGCTGCTGAACTGGATTTTTTGTAGCATAGAACTGAGTATTGTTTCAAGAAGATAGCGAGGAAAACTACAGGGCTAAGCCAAACAAGCTATAAATGTTTTTAAGTATCCTAGAAGTATGTGTTCTAAATATCTCAGAAACTTCTAGATATCCCCCAAAATATCCGGAAACTTGTGGAAATAGCTAACAAAGACAAATCAGTTCCTCAGTTGAGTCTAAATAAAGCTGAAACCGAACGACGTTTTTTAGTCCACTTTTGAGGAAAAAAAAGAACAAAAGAAAAAAAAAAAAACAGTTTCGAATGAGACTATTAATAAAGTTTTCAAAATCGCCGGATTCCATTTTTTGTGAACGGGGTCTGGTTTATAGGTTTATGCATGGACACAATTATTATTAAAGTTCGAGAGAGTTCTTAAAGGGTTTGTCTAGTCAAGCAGGAAAGATAAAGATATGAAGTGTTCCGAAAATACGCCTTGGTATCTCCCAAAAAACTACAAAAGATGCAAAACCAGAATAAACAACAACCGAAAAGTAATAAAAAACCAGCGATGGGCTACTATTGTATGATTAACTTAAACATAGGCAACGGCTGGTTTCTTTAATAAAAACACCGCCTGTTTTAAATTTATATTTCGTTTCTTTGTTTCACACGGCATGAGCTTTTTGAAGTTATTAAAAATACAGACAGAGGCTGGCTAGACTTTTTAATTTCCTTGAGTAAAATATGACATATATTTAATCGCGCAATAAATCTCGATTTTTTTAAAAAAATTCGGGCTTTGCTACCAATTGTATACAGAAACTGGTGTCGAAGAAAAGCCACGAGAAATGAATAAATGTTGTATATATGGAACATTAAAATAATGCCTCTATACTCAGATCTGTTGCAGAACAAAATTTATTCTCCGATGATATATATTTACTGGTGCCATATATATTGTTAGTGTGCTAGAATAAGTTATTGCCTTTACAATGTATCTCTCTAAGTATTTCAATCTCGCCTTAGTTAATTTCTTACAATACATTTATCTTTCTTTCTTGCTGAATTTAAGTGATCCAGAATACTATATTCGGCTTTTCAACGACGGACTGAAAGTAACATTTTTGTGTTTCTTCTTATTTTCAGTTTCACTACCGACTGAAATTTTCCCTGGAGCAAGTGACATGATGATAGATTTCTAAAAGTTCACAAGTCATTTTTCGAGACACATATTTCTCCGTTTCGGAAGTGTTAAATGGTGTTATGTCTGTCACTTTCGCTATTCAGAGTATTAGCTCTGATTTAACGCGGTTTCGCCGAGAAAGCATAACAAAACGAAAAAATGATGAGGAATACATTTGACATAGGATGTAGAAACACCTAAAATATATACGCTTAAGATATTCGTGAACTGAAGTGAAAAACCTACGAGATTAATGAATATTGCACCGAGGTGCTAGTTTTGACAAAGCTCTAATCTTAGTGTTTCCTACCGTTTTCACAGAGATTTGAGTCTCCCGCTGTCAGTTCGTCTTGAACAGGCTGTCCTCAAAAGCCGTATAACAGTATCAAGACGATCGTGCACTATATCAGTATTTATCCTTTCTTTTACGTGATAACTACATCCGGGACTTTATGACAGGTGGAGGTAATTTAGAATTGACAACTGAAATCCGCATGCAGTCAAATGAATTAAACGGTCCGAAGTTAATAGGTCAGTTTCCTCAAACTTCCTTTTTCGTTTAAACAGAACTCTTCTCGAAACTTTTGCTTCACATTGAAAAATGAAAAGATTGATTCCCTGACGGTTTTTATGATTGATCAGTTGATAATTTTTGGTGTTTTCTTTGAGAAAATTACTCTGGCCTTATAATTGCTGTTGTAGTCGAAGGAAAAAAATTGTTATTATTAAAACAAATTTTGCCATATTCAAAAGGTAATGCTATATGGTTTTTTATTTTCCAATCCGAAAATGAGCTTGAAGAAACAATCGAATTAATCTGTTCATGCTGCCTATCGGTCAAAGAATATTAATTAAACATAAATTTTTCTATACATGCCAGATGTTTTTGTGTTTTGCTAATACCTTCTTCTCTCTTTGATCTTCGCGATTTCAGTACAGTAAATTAAAGCAGCAATATATATTTGTTAAATACATCTGGTTTTCACGCGGGTCCTCTGTCCTGCTCGAATTGCAATTTGAAGATGTTGGTTTTTGTGGAGTGAGGAAAACCGGACAACCTGAAGAAAAGCCCTCGGAGCAAGGCGAGAACCAACAACAAACTCAACTCACATATGACACCAGGCCGGAATCGAACCCGGGCCACATTCGTGGGAGGCGAGCGCTCTCACCACTGCGCAGTCCCTGCTGCCCAAATTCACATCACCCAACAGCTAACGTTTTACCCTTGCACGGTACAATTTAGCATTTTTGTTTGTTCTAGCGTATGGTAATATACAATAAAGTATATGTAAGAACAAAGGAAAATACTAAAATTCTACAAAGAGTATTTTTTATTGAAACACAACATATACATGGCGATAACTTGAAATGTGTTTTGGAATGCCTAAGTATCGTGTTGTTTTAAAAATAAAAAAAAATAAAAAAAAAAGATAAAATAATGCACACTGTAAGCGAGAAATCTAAAATTGAAAACAGCCAGGGGCAGTTTTCGCAATACGTTTTCGCAAAAGGAGTAACTAAAGAAGATGAAAAAAGTTTTAATCCTAAATAGAAATATCGTTGCAAAACTATAAGTTATGAACATTTTTGCACTCATTACTAGTTCTGCTACGAACAACTTCTTGGTTATTTTTCGTAAAAAAATGTTATCCACAGAATACCGTGTCAATTGTTTATCACACCTTGGCTAGGGAAAAACTATGAACATGCTAACTAAAGGCATAACAAATGAGATTAAAGAGATCGCAAAGTGGCAAGTCTGGCGCTTTTCTCTTGATGCCTTTTTGAAAAAAAAAAACAAACAGTATCGGGCGCTAGTTAGTGGAGAAATTGTTAATTTTACTTCATAAAATGGAAACTGATTTTATGCACGAATTTTGAACATTATGTCGCTACGTGAGTGCCTGAGGCATTATCTTCAGGGTAACTGGATCGCCTCTTGAATTAATGATATTTTTTTAGAAAGAAAGGGCTATATGCCTACCTTTTCCCGAATAAGAGTTATTTTCCCGGATGGAGGCATTTTAGCTAATGCACCGACACGGCGGGTAAAAGTTCCGCACATGTTATCCGTGTAAGAGTGCACGAATTCCGTATTTTCGCATTGTAGACTTTGGACCTCGGATAATTCTGTTTTTCTTATACGGAATTTAAGTACACAAAGTGTTATTTATCGACTGTTAAAATTACTGTATATATTTAGATTTACGCAGGCCTAAAAGTGTAGCTGCACAGTCCTTAATTTGTTTATAGCACCTTACAAAGCATTTCCACTACGATAAATTGGTGTTCAAATGTTTTTGTTTAAAAAAAACACAAAAAGATGGGAAAATCATGTATGAATGAGCCGAAGGTTGCCACAATAAAGAGACCAGATGAAAGAATCGTTAAGGAAACTTGAATAAAAAAATCAAGCTCATGCAAGATGAAGCCAAGGAACTTGGTGATGACATTGCCAACATTTCTCCTTTCGAAATTGCACTCTAAATTCGAAGGAACACTGCACTTGTTCATTACATTTTGTTCTCTGAAGCGTTGAAAGGCCGCTTTAAATTCTTGATTTGTTTTCAAAACAAGTGCACAGGCGCTGTGGAAGTGTACGTCTTGATATGTGGGATGGATGGTCAGCCAAGTGCACGGGGCTCCGCAAGCAACGGCTTTGTATTCGTGTTGGCCTCTCCGCTATTGACTACTATAGCACTATTCTAATGGCATTCTAAAAGTGTTCGCAAATTTACTGTGCCATTGTGCCACTAGTTGCGCCATTGTGCATGAGAGTGTGGCAGGAACTCGTGCTTTAGTCTACGTTTTTATTAGTTTAATCAAATCATGCGCATAAAAAAAATCTATTGTTTATCTCAACATTATTCGATCCTTTTAATTTTGTGTCAGTTGACCCCTGTGGATGGTCGAGGTAGTCAGTACTCTTCTTCACATGATTTCCTTTCTTTTTTTAGCTTTTTGTTGGGCAATAATAAAATGAAATTTTAATTTTTCTGTAGTTCTGCACTGCAGCTTTGGAGTCCCGGGAAACTCATAAATAACTCCTCCAGTTTAAACAAAGGAAGTCATGACTGTGACAGTGTTTGGATATCTGATCTTAATTAGCACAGATTTTTGCGATTTCATTTTTTCCCGTTTTCTCCTTAGTTTTAGTCTCGATTGAGGAGATATATCAAACAATCAAGACAGTGTTTGACCACTTTTCCAAACTCCTCGAAGTTCATCTAAAATACTCCGCTTCGCGTCGTATTTTCAACTCTCTTCTCGGTGTTTGGGAATGTGGTCAAACACGGTCTTCCGTGTTTGATATATTACTTCTTATGTGCAGCACGCTTTATTGTACCGATCCCGGTGCATTTGCAAACGAAAATTCCTTCATTCGTTTTTAAGACGTCTAATTTTTTGATTGACAATAAACGTTGTTAATTTTTAGACGATTTAAGCTTGAAAAATGTTAAAGTAAAATGCTTTAATTCTTTGCCACTAGTATTTTTATCAGTCGATGACAATGTTGGTTTCAGTTGGAGTTTAAATAAAGGTTGATTAATTCTGCGCCGATATGTGGTTATTTTTCTTCACACGAAAATTGGGGGAGTCTCATAAAAATTTACACCTTGATATCCTTCCTAGCATGTTCTAAAATTCTAACCTTTCCCAACCAAACATTATTGTAAGATAGATTGCATGTTGGCAGCGAGACGTTTTGTCTTACTTAAAAATAAATTATTCCCGTAACATATTAAATAATCTTGTTGATGTGCATGTAGTTCAGATGACGCTTTAAGCTTTGGTACAAGTCGTTGATAAGGACATGTCCGAAAACAATTCAAAATGATCTTATGACCCCCTGTAGAGCCTTACCTTTTAAAAATTGCACATAGTGCAAGCAAGCCAGAACAAAGGAAAAAATAAGAGTTTACATTTGGCGGCCTTGTTTTTGATCATGAAGTGGGCAAAAATAAAACACTTTTTCTCTTAAGCATGAAGTCATAACTTCAGTTTAACATCGCCTTCAAGAGAGGCTATCGGTAACCGGGTTCAGAATGACGAGTAATCGTTTATGGTGATTTCTAGGCTCCCGCGAGTTCTTTAGGTAGTTCACTTTGGAAAGTACTGTAACAATTTAACAGTGCAATTTCATGTGGTGTGGAATGAAATTTCTTTCAGAGAAGCCAAAGCGGCCAGAAAACGGAAATTTGAATGTAACGGCAGTTACCGAACTGTTTAAGTAACAACCCAGCCATTACTGAATCACCGATGGATTCAGTCAGTAAACGTATGCAGTCTACATAAATCCAGATAAAGAAAACCGACAATAAACCCTGCAAAATGTACTAGTCTCGTAAACAGGCTCGAGGTTTGCACCGGGAAATTGCGTAGTTCAGTTGAAATGAATACTCACTGCCGAATTCGACAGAGTAGAAAATAACGTCAATAAACCAAATAACATTCTGTAAGCAAAATAAATCAACCTATTATGAAACGAGGCATTTTTATAAAGCTTATTCTGTGTAGTGTTTAGTTTTTTACTGGAAGGAATGTTAGCTACGAAGGGAATAGAAAAACAAAATATGCCTTACCTTAATCAAGGGTAAAGAGAATTGAATTGTTGGCTAACGTGAGAGATGTGGAAATTTATGTTCCTTCCGCCGGGCACTGGTTAAACCAAACAAGGGGTTTATTTATTCTTTTTTCTTTTCTTGACATGCAAACAAAGCACCAGAAATTAAAGTTGATAAATAATATGTGGGAAGTTTTAAAGACTATAAAATCGATTTTCCGAATACGTACTGTAGGAGGTATTTCAATACGCCTTGAAATGTTTTGCAAGGATTTCTGAAATCCAACATTGCATACGACTGATTGCTAATAACGACAGTAGAGATATAACAGTTTGTTTTTGGCCAATAGACAGTCAAGTTTAGTATCAATTTAAGCCATTGGTGGATTGTACTAAAGTAGTGCCGTAATTTCTCTTATCGCATGAGCAGTCAAGTCAAACCACTTCAATTACATTATATAGCTAGATAAGTTTGAATATAAACCGGGCCATTTAAAAGAGAACTTCTTTTGTAAATGTCGTTCAACCATTTAATGTTTTTTCATTCACTTTCATTTTCATTTTCGGGGCGGTCAATACTATGCAAGGAAAATGTCGCGATAGGGATGCAATAAAAACAGGTGCACAATACGCACATGTGGTTACTGTTTTCATGGTAATATGTTCAGACTTCAGAAGAAGTCTGATGATGGAACCTACAGCTGGCGATGTATTGAGAACTGTTTTAAAACAATATTACAAGTCACGCAATTTTTTAAAACATTCTGGTTTGATAGAGTACATTGTTTTAAAATGGTTTACTATTTTGCTGAGTATTGTTTAATGCTATTCTTGGCTTGTTCTATATGTTAATTCATCATTATAACTTCAATTATTTTTATCCTTTGCTATTGCTGTTATTACTTGGGCATCCGTAAGAAATCCCGAGTCTTGAAATGTAAGCCATTTTCTCTTGGGCGCCAAAATGGAGCGGGGGATCGTGGTCCCAGCCTCCAGGTGTTTCTAGCGGAGACCGTGAAAACTGGCGATGAGAATTGCGACAGCTTGCCAATCGTGTGCTCGGTCTGCCTGGACAGCACAATTTGCAGAATGCTGTGTTTGTGAAGAAGACTTTGGAAAGAATCATGCCTTATACGCTCATCTCACATTCAATGATGTCGAATGTTTTCGGAACCGGTTTGGCATGAAAGCCAGCCAAATTTTCAGTAGCAAAGTTCAGGCTCGTTCTCACGAGATACCAAAAGAGCCATATATGACTTCAAGCTACGAAAAACACTGACAAAAAACTATGAATACAAACTATGATGCCGAGACGAACACATCAGATTTTGGAAAAAATCAAGAATCTTCGAAGGTGAGGCAAATAACTGGATAAAGAGGATAATCAACGAAGTAACTTGAATAGTGAATATCTAAGCTTATTTGATTCTTTTACTTGTTTTCATTCTGTTCAGTGAGCTCACTTGTAAAGCACGATTTGGTATTGCGATACGAAGCCCGAGTAAACGCTCTTGGAGCAATTAGTTTCTGCTATTGCCGGTTTTCATGTTTCGTAGTCATATTCCAAAATTAGAAATTACCTCTCCTTCTGAGGTTTTAGTTTTTGTAGTATCGTATGCTAGGACTGAGCTCTAGGCCCATTGCATGCTGGGCCAACGCAGGCCCGGTTACCGTTGTCGTTGTAGTTTCGTAGCTAGTATGGCAGCCATAGTCTATTAAAGTTTTATCAGATATAGGACCCTGAAACTTGAGGTTTTGCAACGTGTTAGCATTGTAATAGAAGACGTTTGAGTTTCCAAGTTGATGCGTCGCGTGACATTAAATGGCGGCCAGAGAAGGCTGTCGTGTAGGTCAAAAGATGAGCCATCGCTCATCTTTTGATTCGTAGTACA